GTAACGTGGTCAGATGGTACCCGCTGAGGAAAATTTCGTCTCACATCCTATATATATTTATATATATAATTTCTTACGCTACTGCTTTGGGTCACCACTTACTGATGGCGGTCTAATCGTTTTATTTTTTCATAATTGACGTCACTGCACTTTTGGCATTTCCATGTATGCTCAGCCCATACAACAGACACCACAGGGTAACTCTGCTGCTTGTTCTCATGAGAAGTTGGTTACAACGTCTCATATCTTGACATCGAAGACGACAATGACGGACTGTATGATTATTTCCATCCATCTCTGGCGGTCAAACGCAAACAGGGGCAATGAAATCTGGGGATGAGGTGGGAAGGGGCTAAGGCCCATTAAAATCCTGCAACCATCCTCGCTCTAGAAAATGTGTATGACTGTTGAATGACCCCGGCTAAATAGCTTTCACGTGCGATGCCTAAGAAGAATACTTGGCATTAGGTGGTAGCACAAGATCACTAACACTGAGTTATTGGAAGGAGCAGGTATTACAACAGTATTCTAAATGCTCAGTCTACGAAGACTAAGGTGGCTGGGTCACACCTGGAGAGTGAAGGATGGCAGAGTCCCTAAGGACATCCTATATGGGGAATTAAACACAGGTAGAAGATGTTGAAGCCAACTTCTACTACGGTATAAAGATGTGTGCAATCGGGACATGAATGATACAGGTATTGAGGTGTACTCGTGGGAACAAAATGCCACGGACCGTTGTGTGGAGGAGGCACACCAGGAAGGGAATAAGAAAAACGGAAGAAATTATTGAAGAAATGATGAGAGCTGAGCATCTGAGAAGAAACAGACTAAACATAGATATTGACAACAATGATCCTGAAAACCCATGTTATAATTGTGGAAGACTTTTCTTAACGCGGGCCGGTCTTGCTAGTTACACTCGCCATCGCCATGGACTGTGAGTCCCATGACTCCACATAGCGCAAAATAACACTACATTCTGGAAAAACGGAAAGGTGCCAAACATAAAAATGAATGGAAGTTCTCTTTTCTTAAGGTATATCTCGATACAACTCGTATTATCTTCTTCTATGAAGAAGATAAGAAACACACATGGGTTGAAAAAGATACTTTGTTGTGAACCGAAACAGGCATGTTTCGCCACAGTGTGTGTGTGTGGAACAACACAGCATGGGTCAGAGGTGGGGGAGGGGGGGGGATTGTGGAGAACACAATAAGGGTCAGAAGTTGCTTAATTACACGAGATAGCTAGTCACAGAAGAAGACGAAGAATTTTCTTTACAACAGGAGGAACAGGGCAAGGTCATGACACCTCTGTATTTCTCCTGTTTGGCGGACTTCGTACTTCTAATCGACTCATTTTATACTCAACTACATAGAACATACATACACAAAAGTGTTGCGGGGGGTGGGGGGGGGGCGACATGCTACGGATATTTGTGTATGTTTGTCTTTAAATTTTGGCTGAAACGGAAATGCTAACAAGAAACCACGACCGACTCTAGGCTGGTGTTTGAGAAGGCCGTGCAAGAAACATACATCTAGGGGCAACAAATATGGTGTGCATATGGATTCTCTGTGCAGGGAACAAAGCCAGAAGGAAGTACTACTGTCCATAATAACTGGGCTAACACACGTCTGTGTTGAAACAAGGTTGACATACAATACAACAAAGGTACCGGAACCTGGGAGCTCGGTCTCTTGCCCCCACCCCCTCCCTCACCCTCCCCCCCCTTCCAAACGCTCCCCTTACCCACCCCCGCCAAATTTCCTTTACGTCATGGTGATGTGGTGAATGACAAATAAATAATGTTTTAATAAATATGCAAAATAGCTAAAATAATATACTTTGAATAACATAAATTGTATGAATAAAAACGTTCTAATAGAATTGTTATACGTGCTTTAACTGTCCCTCCCACCCCCTCCCTCCTGTTATCTATCCCATTTTTTTCTTATAACCCCTACAACTGTGTGTGTTTCGGGAAGTGGGAATGAGTTGGTTGGCTAGGGGTGACTTCGAGTAATAGTCGTAATTATTTTGTAATATCCTGTTCAACCAAGTCTTCTCCCTCATACGATGGAGAAGACTGTGATTCAACCCTTAGGCCTATGGATATAGTTGGGATATATATACCATGAGAACTCGATAAACACTAGTTTGCCATTCAACAGATTATTTTTAATATTAATTTGCTGAATGACAAATAATCTATGGTGTTTATCAAGTTCTCAGAGTAAAAAAAAGTATTTTATATATTGTGTAACTATTTATTTCAGATAAATATGTAATTTGTATTGTTTCAAATACTGCTTTGATCTGGGTTGTAGTTATGATATAAACAGTACTGTACTATGAATATTTAGATAATCTTGCTAACATTACGTCATTAGAATAAAGAAAATATAAAAAAAAAAACATGTAACCAAAATATACCACAAAAAAAAAAAAAAAAAAAAACGAAAAGTCTACCAGCGAGTAAATGAATAATGCCCTTGGTATAATAGTTAATTATCCTCGCTGATTTTATCTTTAAAAGAGACTTCTTCAATATATGGATGTTATTTCTAGTAATAAATTATTTGACCTTGCCACGTCTCTGAGCCTGTCTGTGTGCAATAACTTTTCCATCGTCATATGTAATTTACAGGAATTCATAACGTCTGTTAAAAGTTTTATTTGGAGTTAATATTTTTTACACTCCACCAAACAGTCCTCCATATTATTGTACTTCTGGCATAAACCACGTGTTTTTTTCCTCTTTAAAGCAACCTCCTCCAAATTGTTGTCTAAGTTATTTGCAATTGCATGGTATTTTAAGTTCATCTATTACCTGACATTGTCTTTGTAGAGCATTTGATAACATATGAATGTGTGCCCTTTAGACTTTGGTCCCAGTTTAAAACACGGGTGAGAAGTTTTGTCTGGATTTTTTCACCGGGGCACGACGGGAAATGAACAGGCGGACAGACTGGCTGGCTCTGCACAACTTGGTGGAACTGCTACACGATAAGGCAGACGTGATAAGTGCCTTGTGGGAGAGCGTCTACAGTTCGGAGGAGCAGATGGATCACCACAGTCTGGTGAGATTGATGCAGTTGGGGAGTGACGATAGGTTCTGGAAGAAGCTCGAGGCTCAGAGGAAAGGCAAGACGGACGTTTAATCAGAATGCTACTGGCACCATTAGTTTCGGAACTCTTCGCTGGCGCTGAAGATGGGGACGGAGCGCTTATGGGAATGCCACGAGTGCTGTGATGTCGGTTCTTGAATCAAATAAAATCAATTTAATCCCAGTTTAAAGACCCTTACACTGATAGCCAGGAACATCTCTCCTAGTTTTCATATTATGACTGATTATGCAGTGCCAAACCCATTGCCGATAAAATAGGTTAGGATAAAGTTTAACCAAATATTTCGTCTCTGTTTCGGTTAGATGTGTCCAGAATTTGGTTGTGAAATCTGACATGTCATACACAAATTGTCATAAAATCGAAAGTATTTAAATAAATTGTTTCAAATAAAGATTAGCTGATGTATAATTGAAAAGAAAATGCAGGCGAATTTTTAGAAATGGGCAGCAGTGTTGCTGAACAAGTAAAAAAGTAAGGTAAGCACAACATGTGTGTCGAACGTTCTTAAATGTTATGTGAATTTACTAATTTGTTTTTAGTGATTAGAAGTATATTACAATCTCTAAAGTCGTTCTTGTACACCCAGCCCTCTGTCATTTTTGCAAAGAGAAATTAATGTGGGCCAAGTCTGTCAAAATTCATGGACCTGAAAGAGTTAACAACTGATTGTGAGTAAATAAAAACGGACAGTAGTTGAGAAAAGGGAGGGTTGGGGGCGTCATGTACAATTTCAAGAGCTTTGAGTACAAAAATCATTTCTGCAGTGAAAATTTTTAAAATTATTACGTATGATGTAGTTTTTCTTTTTCTTTAGTTTTCCCTGAACCTCATTTTTGCTTGATAATGTGTAAGACGAGGGGGTGGCGGCGGTAATGTTTTATCTGAGTCGGCGCGCCTGCCACAGAGTGAACAAGAAGTCTGATCAAACTAGCAACAAACACCATTTTACTGGTTTATTAGTCCGATCAATCTGGTTACACCTTGTCGCTAGGCAACATGTGGTCGACAATGTAAACACTCACGATTGTAAACAAACCTGACGAAAGACGTGCCTCTCTGTATGCATGATGTGTGTAGTTTAGTGTATGTGTGAATAGTAATGATCACATATTTAATGTGTTGTAAATAAATAAAACTACTTAAACTTATTACTTCTATTTGAAATAAATAGTTTTTTCCCCCTGCTTCTCGTTTAGATTGACTGTAACCCCAATGTAAATATAATTAACTACTACTAGTAGTGTACGATACTTTAGCTATCAATGCTAAACCGAAGGCGTTAGTCAGTCAGTCTGGAGTAAACTGTTGGTTTACATTACCGTGATTCTCAGTATGGTTTTGTAAAGTAATGAAATTTACAGCTTTATTGTAAGCTCAAAGTAAAACAATTCGACTGCCTGTTAAGAATTAGACATTAACATTTCATCCAATTTTAAATCCGTGGAGGGCATATACTTCATTTTTGTTGTTCTCGTTCTTCTTCTTTATGATATTTACAATATGCATATTATCATGCGAATGTAACATACTTATTTATTAAATACAATTGCTGTATAAAAGACGGGTGTTTGGAAGTGCTGAATGTAAGATGGGCCCGCGTGCCCAATTTGTGAACCTTTAAAAATAAAGTTTGTTCGTTCTTCTTCTTCTACCATTGTGCTCCCCACCCCCTTACAAAGATTGTATGCAGTGGGGAGGAGTCTACTCTTGTATAAAATGTAAAAAAAAAAAAATGAAATCTATTAGTGGTTCAACAGAAACACATTTATATTGTTTGGTTGCTAAGATTGTTTATAAATCTGTTAGAGACGGAAACATGTATTTATATTATTTACATGTCAATCCTCCAGCGTCACTAATCAGAATGGCAGCATCTGGCATCAATGAACATCATGAAGCATGTAGAAAACAAAACATCATCAACAAAAGGGCTTACCTGGCAAGAATATTAAGGGTGTGTCAAAAGCTTATATATTTTACATATATATATATATCTTGTGTTGAGTCATTTTCATTCCTATGTGCGTGCGTGCGTGTGGTTTCTTTCTATCTCCATTCGTGCTTGTGTATGAATAGGAATTCCAGTCAAGGTTATCTTATAATGAACAGAAATGTAATATGGCTGTTTTGTAAATACAACATTTCATTTACATAATGTCAGTTTGCTTTCACCTACATCCATGGTCAGGAAGTGAAAGTATCAGTTTTCATGTAAATAATATCCTGTTCAACTCTCAAAATTATAATTAGAATATATAGTCTCGCTCGCTATTTTATATATTTTAAGCTCATTTCTTTCAGTCATTTATGCAATTTGTATTTCATTAACTTTTTCCTGGTAAGAAAAACAGTGGTTTGAAGCTGAAATTTTAAATACACTAGTTAGTTAAAAACACTTTCTATTAGTTACTGAAAGAGGCATTACAGACAATGAAATAATCATATAACTCCTTTTTTTTCCAAAGACTAAGCATTAAAACAGAATCAATCTGAATGAGAAATAGCCCCCCCCCCCCCCCTTTTTTTTTTTAAACCAAAACAAACACACAAAAAGACACACAATCAAGAATGACAAAATGAAAGTTGCAGCTAGAAAGCCCAGCTTCATCAGCAAACAACACAAATAGACAACACATGCAGTTACATGAAATAAAATCCTGCCTGCCAGATTTCTTGAGTACATGTTGATTAAGTATCAAAGACACAATAGCACACTATGCACATGGGCAAAGATGATCACATATAGAGTGTTGCCTGAGGCAGAAAAGGTTGACATTTTAACAGATGTGTCCCATTGCTAAAAATAGATATGTTGAGAATGACATTTTAATAAAGTTAACATCACTCTTTAACTCTTTCAGTACTAGGAGACACTGTTTTATCTTACTCTGTTATGAGCAAGCATTACCTAAAGTGAAGAAGAGTAGTAATTAAAGCATTGATGTCCTCTTCAACCCTTCTGGGTTACAATTGGGAAATGTTGAGTTAGTAGTAGTAGTAGATTTTTACCCCACCAGGACATCACACAAGTGATAAACATCCAATGACACAGAGTGCCACTATGTGGTTGAGGATCACTGTGGAGAGGTCCCAGAAACCGCGTTCAGCCATTAGACTATATTTATGGTCGGGCTATATTGCAGCCCCTGACAAGAGCCAGGGTGGGGCTTCAAAATAGAGACAAATTGCATCACACAAGGAGACGACAGGATAGCATCTAATGTTGAGTTTCTTCTTTGTTCAGAATTGCATATTTATGTTTGTCAACTACTTTTGGTAATTTAATATTGCATAGATTGTGTATTAATTGTAGTAGATTGATTGAGTATAGATTTTTAAATATATTTCATTTGTAAATAATTGTATAATTAATCAGATTGTATCATTTCTCTTTGGGAACATTTAAAGTGGTTATGGATATTATTATTATTGTGCTACATTGCATGCAAATGTTTGCCTATATTGTTTAATTCTTCCCTCTGGTAATCTAGATCTTTATAATTTTAGCATTTTTTCATTGTTTCAGAAATGCCACAGCTGTTCTTATATTCTTCAACAGCAGTTTTTTTTCCAGTTCATATTTCTTGCAATTTAGTAAATAGTATTCAATATTGGATTATTATTTCTTAAAGACTTAAAGTGAAATAGATCAATGCTGAGCTCTTGAGGTCCATTGCTTAATATCAGCCATTTTCTCAATATGCCCTTACTAGTGCAGCCAATTAGCCCTTATGTCATCATTATTTAGTAGCAATTTAAAAAGATTATGAATTTTCGTAGTGCTAAGATGTAATACGATGCACAATTAATTTATTTTTAGGATAAAAATCTACGTACGACAAGTTGTGAAAGTCCTCAGATTCTCGAGAGAATTGAGGCATCTTGCAGCTTATTTGGACAGGAAGATAATCTTCATGCTTGTCATGTGGGCAAAGCATATAGACAACATGAACGCAATGAGTAAGTTTAATGTGAAGTTTCTTCTTCTTCTTTGCGTTTGGTTTCATAGGAACTCGCATGTTAGTTGCAGGTTCCCAATAGCCTGCTGTGCACATTTCACTCTTGAGGCCAGGTTTCTGTTCAAAGTAATGTGAAATTTATGATTTAGGAGATGGTATGAAGCAGACAAACTGTTTAGATAAATTAAAATAGGCCTTCTGTGTGTGTGTGTGAGTGGACATGTTATGAGAAAAAAATGGCACAATAACTTAGTAACAACTGACAAATCTTATAGAAAGAGAACAAGGAGAAGGCAAAGAGATAACTACTTGTGTAGCCATGTATGTAAGGTGAAACAAGAACACAAACTTATTCATAATTGTGGTAATCATGTGGGATGGCAAAACATGACAACTTACACCTACTGGCACAGCACATGACAACAATGATAATGATGCTGATGATAGCAAAAAGAAAGAGAGAAAAACGATTTACGATTTAAAATTGTTGATCTTCACTGTGGTTCTGGACAGACATGTTTATACGATCCATAACTTTTACATTATTTTAAAAAAGGACTGTATTGTTTGTATGACAAAATTCTGAAAATGGATTGCAGAAAAATTTCAACTGATCAAAACACAAAAATGTTGTTATTGTTGTGTGTGTTTGTGTGTATATGGGGGAGGGGGGAGGGGGGGGAGAAAGTGCTATAGTGTTTAAAAGTTGTTTCTGTGTGTAGAAGACCATAATGAGTTTACAATGAGAGTATACTGAAGATTATAATTACTGTAGAACTGTTCAAAACATCATTCAAAGAAAGGGCAAGATTATTGAAACAGACTTGGAGAGGAGGAGTAAGAAAATGTATATTGTGCTACATGGTGACTTTATCTCTCCAAGGGTGAGCAAGATCTTGAAGCAACAGTCCCTGACCTATTCAGCCAAGCTTAGCCATCGTTTCAGTGTAAGTTGCATTAGTCCTTCTCATTTGTAAAATTTTTGTCTTTGCCAGTTTTAAAATTTGGCTCTGGTCATGAATCCTGGCCCACCTACACACTGTCTGACCTTTTATTGATACTTTCTCTGACTCTTCTACGTTGATGGGATGACACATTGTCTTGCTTCCAATTACACCAACGCCAATGTCGCATGTTCTACTCTATACAATGACACAGCTTTCAACGAAGCCAGGACATCTAGAACTGGCCCTGACCCAAACCCCCCAACCCACAGCCTTCACCTTCACACGAGAGCCTTTTGGCAGAAAGCAGTACAACGTGACACCTCTCTGACCTAGATCAGACTGAAAAAGTGTATAGATGGGCCAGGAAATGTGAACAGGTCCTAAAATTTAATTGTACAGGGTATCCATAAGTTTCCATATATAGGAAAAAAGACGACGCCTGATTGGTTGAATTATTAGGCAAAGAAGACCACACAGATGGTGGACACAGATGATGTTCCCCTCTCCCCAGGCACGAAAATACATGATCTAAGCACCCAGGGCTCATTTCCGGCATCTTGTCGCAGAAAATTAGACATTTTGGCCATTTAAATGTCATGTTGGCCTGGAGAGAACGGCGATAGAGGATATAGTTTTTGGAACACGAGGGAAGACCTGCGAAGGTGCACACAAGACATCGAAGATGCATTAGCGATTAAAGCATATAGTAAGTAAGTAAAGATCCCTTTTCACGCCTCTAGGCGCATCGGGTATATGGGAAAAGTACCCATATTTTTACAGACCAATCAGCACTAGTTGAGTAATGTGGTCAGCATTACGCCGGTCGTCTTTACTTCTCCAGCACATACATCCTGGTACCCATTTTAAGCTGGGTCAACCTGCGACGCCCCATACCATGATAAAAATCTACGAGCCAGCAGTGGGTTTTGATCGTGGTACGTTGGAATTACGAGTCGGACTCGCAACGCCTAAGCCACGAACACCACTCAATTTAAGCAAACAGCATTGGAAAATCAGCTAGAGAAAGAGATACTTTTAGGCATGTTGTGGCGAGAGCAGTATTCTTTAAAAGACCTGCTGACTGATAATGATGAGGCATGGAAATGCAGGAGTCAGGGAAGTTGACAATGTGGCATAGCAAGGTCAGGTGGTACCCGGTGTAAAAAATTGATTGTCACTTCTCTTCATACACACACTCACACACATTGTTTATGTTTTTTTAGCCATTTTGTCACCCACTTAGTGATGGCATCCAGTGAGGCCCACATCCCCTTTACTACACTTCTGAATGAATAAAAAGCATTTTTAAGGAGTTATGATGAAGGCAACACTTTTGTAAATGGCTGACCCCCTGGTGGTAAAAGATTTTAAAATATAGTAATGTATGCATTGTAAAACATAAAATATCTTCCAAGTTTCAATCAACTACTCTCCACATGTTTCAGTCAATCAGCTTCTCTCCACATGTTTCAGTCAATCAGCTTCTCTCCACATGTTTTAGTCAATCAACTTCTCTCTACATGTTTCAGTCAATCAGCTTCTCTCCACATGTTTCAGTCAATCAACTACTCTCCACATGTTTCAATCAATTAACTACTCTCCACATGTTTCAGTCAATCAGCTACTCTCCACATGTTTCAGTCAGTCAACTTCTCTCCACATGTTTCAGTCAATCAACTTCTCTCCACATGTTTCAGTCAATCAACTACTCTCCACATGTTTCAGTCAATCAACTTCTCTCCACATGTTTCAGTCAATCAACTACTCTCCACATGTTTCAGTCAATCAGCTTCTCTCCACATGTTTCAGTCAATCAGCTTTCTCTCCACATGTTTCAGTCAATCAGCTACTCTCCACATGTTTCAGTCAATCAACTACTTTCCACATGTTTCAGTCAATCAACTTCTCTCCTCGTGTTTTAGTCAATCAACTTCTTTTCACATGTTTCAGTCAATCAACTTCTCTCAACATGTTTCAGTCAGTCAACTTCTCTCCACATGTTTCAGTCAATCAACTTCTCTCCACATGTTTCAGTCAATCAACTTCTCTCCACATGTTTCAGTCAATCAACTTCTCTCCACATGTTTCAGTCAATCAGCTTTTCTCCACATGTTTCAGTCAATCAACTACTCTCCACATGTTACAGTCAATCAACTACTCTCCACATGTTGAAGTTATCAACTACTCTCGACATGTTTCAGTTAATCAACTACTCTCCACATGTTTCAGTCAATCAGCTTCTTTCCACATGTTTCAGTCAATCAGCTTCTCTCCACATGTTTCAGTCAATCAGCTTCTCTCCACATGTTTCAGTCAATCAGCTACTCTCCACATGTTTCAGTCAGTCAACTTCTCTCCACATGTTTCAGTCAATCAACTTCTCTCCACATGTTTCAGTCAATCAACTACTCTCCACATGTTTCAGTCAATCAACTTCTCTCCACATGTTTCAGTCAATCAACTACTCTCCACATGTTTCAGTCAATCAGCTTCTCTCCACATGTTTCAGTCAATCAGCTTTCTCTCCACATGTTTCAGTCAATCAGCTACTCTCCACATGTTTCAGTCAATCAACTACTTTCCACATGTTTCAGTCAATCAACTTCTCTCCTCGTGTTTTAGTCAATCAACTTCTTTTCACATGTTTCAGTCAATCAACTTCTCTCAACATGTTTCAGTCAGTCAACTTCTCTCCACATGTTTCAGTCAATCAACTTTTCTCCACATGTTTCAGTCAATCAACTTCTCTCCACATGTTTCAGTCAATCAACTTCTCTCCACATGTTTCAGTCAATCAGCTTTTCTCCACATGTTTCAGTCAATCAACTACTCTCCACATGTTACAGTCAATCAACTACTCTCCACATGTTGAAGTTATCAACTACTCTCGACATGTTTCAGTTAATCAACTACTCTCCACATGTTTCAGTCAATCAGCTTCTTTCCACATGTTTCAGTCAATCAGCTTCTCTCCACATGTTTCAGTCAATCAGCTTCTCTCCACATGTTTCAGTCAATCAGCTTCTCTCCACATGTTTCAGTCAATCAACCACTCTCCACATGTTTCAGTCAATCAACTACTCTCCACATGTTTCAGTCAATCAACTACTCTCCACATGTTTCAGTCAATCAACTTCTCTCCACATATTTTAGTCAATCAGCTTCTCTCCACATGTTTCAGTCAATCAACCACTCTCCACATGTTTCAGTCAATCAACTACTCTCTACATGTTTCAGTCAATCAACTACTCTCCACATGTTTCAGTCAATCAACTACTCTCCACATGTTTTAGTCAATCAACTTCTCTCCACATGTTTCAGTCAATCAACTACTCTCCACATGTTTCAGTCAATCAACTTCTCTCCACATGTTTCAGTCAATCAACTACTCTCCACATATTTTAGTCAATCAGCTTCTCTCCACATATTTTAGTCAATCAGCTTCTCTCCACATGTTTCAGTCAATCAACCACTCTCCACATGTTTCAGTCAATCAACTACTCTCTACATGTTTCAGTCAATCAACTACTCTCCACATGTTTTAGTCAATCAACTTCTCTCCACATGTTTCAGTCAATCAACTACTCTCCACATGTTTCAGTCAATCAACCACTCTCCACATGTTTCAGTCAATCAACTACTCTCCACATGTTTCAGTCAATCAACTACTCTCCACATGTTTCAGTCAATCAACTACTCTCCACATGTTTCAGTCAATCAACTACTCTCCACATGTTTCAGTCAATCAACTTCTCTCCACATATTTTAGTCAATCAGCTTCTCTCCACATGTTTCAGTCAATCAACCACTCTCTACATGTTTCAGTCAATCAACCACTCTCCACATGTTTCATTCAATCAACTACTCTCCACATGTTTCAGTCAATCAGCTTCTCTCCACATGTTTCAGTCAATCAACTACTCTCCACATGTTTCAGTCAATCAACTTCTCTCCACATGTTTCAGTCAATCAGCTTCTCTCCACATGTTTCAGTCAATCAGCTTCTCTCCACATGTTTCAGTCAATCAGCTTCTTTCCACATGTTTCAGTCAATCAACTACTCTCCACATGTTTCAGTCAATCAGCTTCTTTCCACATGTTTCAGTCAATCAACTTCTCTCCACATATTTTAGTCAATCAGCTTCTCTCCACAGATTTTAGTCAATCAGCTTCTCTCCACATGTTTCAGTCAATCAACTTCTCTCCACATGTTTCAGTCAATCAACTACTCTCCACATGTTTCAGTCAATCAACTACTCTCCACATGTTTCAGTCTATCAGCTTCTCTCCACATATTTTAGTCAATCAGCTTCTCTCAACATGTTTCAGTCAGTCAACTTCTCTCCACATGTTTCAGTCAATCAACTTCTCTCCACATGTTTCAGTCAATCAACTACTCTCCACATGTTTCAGTCTATCAGCTTCTCTCCACATATTTTAGTCAATCAACTTCTCTCAACATGTTTCAGTCAGTCAACTTCTCTCCACATGTTTCAGTCAATCAACTACTCTCCACATGTTTCAGTCAATCAACTACTCTCCACATGTTTAAGTCTATCAGCTTCTCTCCACATATTTTAGTCAATCAACTTCTCTCAACATGTTTTAGTCAGTCAACTTCTCTCCACATGTTTCAGTCAATCAACTTCTCTCCACATATTTTAGTCAATCAGCTTCTCTCAACATGTTTCAGTCAGTCAACTTCTCTCCACATGTTTCAGTCAATCAACTTCTCTCCACATGTTTCAGTCAATCAACTACTCTCCACATGTTTCAGTCTATCAGCTTCTCTCCACATATTTTAGTCAATCAACTTCTCTCAACATGTTTCAGTCAGTCAACTTCTCTCCACATGTTTCAGTCAATCAACTACTCTCCACATGTTTCAGTCAATCAACTACTCTCCACATGTTTCAGTCTATCAGCTTCTCTCCACATATTTTAGTCAATCAACTTCTCTCAACATGTTTCAGTCAGTCAACTTCTCTCCACATGTTTCAGTCAATCAACTTCTCTCCACATGTTTCAGTCAATCAACTTCTCTCCACATGTTTCAGTCAATCAACTTCTCTCTACATGTTTCAGTCAATCAGCTTTTCTCCACATGTTTCAGTCAATCAACTACTCTCCACATGTTTCAGTCAATCAACTACTCTCCACATGTTTCAGTCAATCAACTTCTCTCCTCATGTTTCAGTCAATCAACTACTCTCCACATGTTTCAGTCAATCAACTACTCTCCACATGTTTCAGTCAATCAACTACTCTCCACATGTTTCAGTCAATCAACTTCTCTCTACATGTTTCAGTCAATCAGCTTTTCTCCACATGTTTCAGTCAATCAACTACTCTCTACATGTTTCAGTCAATCAACTACTCTCCACATGTTTCAGTCAATCAACTACTCTCCACATGTTTCAGTCAATCAACTACTCTCCACATGTTTCAGTCAATCAACTTCTCTCCACATGTTTCAGTCAATCAGCTTCTCTCCACATGTTTTAGTCAATCAACTACTCTCTACATGTTTCAGTCAATCAGCTTCTCTCCACATGTTTCAGTCAATCAACTTCTCTTCACATGTTTCAGTCAATCAACTACTCTCCACATGTTTCAGTCAATCAACTTCTCTCCACATGTTTCAGTCAATCAGCTTCTCTCCACATGTTTCAGTCAATCAACTACTCTCCACATGTTTCAGTCAATCAACTACTCTCCCCATGTTTCAGTCAATCAACTTCTCTCCACATGTTTCAGTCAATCAACTACTCTCCCCATGTTTCAGTCAATCAACTTCTCTCTACATGTTTCAGACAGTCAGCTGCTCTCAGCATGTTTCACTGAGTCAACTACTCTGAATATATTTCCTTGAATCAACTTACTCAGTATGCTTTAGGTAATCAACTTTCAGTCACCTTACTGTGAACATGTTTCAGCCAGTCAACCACTCTCAACATGTATCAATCAGTCAATTTTTCCTCAACATTTTTTAATCAACTACTCTCCACATTTTCTGCTAGTCAACTATTCTCAGCATGTTTCAGTCAATAAATTTATCTTAACATTTTTTTTTTCAGTCACTCAACTACTTTCAGCAGTGGTAGGTGTATGGCCAGAACAAGATAAATATGGAATCTCTACTGCATTCTGTTTGGCAACAAGAGCGGATTCTGTGTTTTTTTCTTGTGTCACTTAAATTTATCATATTTTTAAAATGAAGTAAAGTCACAATAATTGACATTATTTCTTATTAACTTATGGAAAACGACTGTCAGACTAACAAATAAACCTACAGAAACTAATAAATCGGTGATGAATAATATGTTAGAGGGAGCACGTTTGGAGGATGTCAGGTTCACCAGTTGTGACAGCTTGTCACAGGGAACATGTAGAACATGACTATTCAGCTGGCAGCCTGTGGGCCTAATCTGGCCCACAGAGGCCTAGCGAGTGGCTATGAATCATTGCCAAATGTTGAATTAAGAATTGACATCACAGTACTCAGGACACTTCCCTGAACGCTCCCTCCCTTTCTTCAGCATCAAGTGAAGAGCTCCAGTTCTGATGGTGCCAGTAACTGTCTGATTGTATATCGGTCTCGCCTTTCCCTTGAGTGTTGAGCGTTGGCCAGATCCCCTGGTAATTCCTCGCATCACCATACTCCTCAGACCGTAATGATCTATTTGTGGATATGTACTGTTCACTCGCTCTCAAGGGCCCCTCATAACATCTGGCTTGTCATTCATCATTTATTATTCATATATCAGCTGCATCAGGACTGTGTGTTTCTGACTGCCTTCATTTCAGTGTAAGTTCATAGTCAAGAAACTGGAGGACTGGCAGGATGAAAACAGATTCATCATAAATAGGCCAACCGACCCACCAACCTTTTACTCAAGAGCAAGGCAAACAACCTCTACGCCAGACCATTACTAGAACTGTTGAGAAACAACAAGGAGGCAGTGATCACCGTCCAGTCTTTCTAACGATAAAAAACCAGCCAGTAAGAAAAAGCAGCACTCTACCAAAATGGAATTACAAAAAGGCGGATTGGAAATTGTATCGGACCCTACAAGTGTTCTGGTTAAAAATATAAAAACAGAAAACAATGCAAAGTAGTAGAACAGTTTTTTCTACTATTGAATCGCTTGCAGCTGGAATTGAACCGGGTAAAATTGTTAGGCTCATCAATAAAGAAATACATGAGTGGTTTTTTTTTTTTACACAAAATTTATTTTCATTCAACATTCAGTTATAATATGCAAATGGCACATGAGCTAGTGAAAGACAAACAACATTCCTATTTACAGTGCATGCACAACATATTTTACCCCCCCCCCCCCCCCCATGAACACAGAACTCTAGGTTTTCATTTATATACGACCACTTGAGATTCTATGTAAATTTTTCTTTATCAATACAATATTCCCTAGAGTCTAACAAATAGTTTAGATTCAAGTAAAATGAGAAAAACAGCCCCATTCATGGACAAGATCTTTTAGCTATCCTACAAAACACAAGCGACGCTGTGGCTTAGGCATTGCAAGTCTGACTCATAATTCCAACGTACTGTGATCGAAACCCATGGCTGGCTGTGCGAATTTTTATCATGGTATAGGGTGTCGCAGGTCGACCCAGCCTAAAATGGGTACCAGGATGTATGTCCTGGGGAGGTAAAGACGGCCGGGGTAATGCTGACCACATTACCCACCTAGTGTCGATTAGTCTGTAAAAATATGGGTGCTCTTCCTAACTGCCCGATGCGCCTAAGGGCGTGAAAAGGGATCTTTATCTTTACAAGACAGAAGTTCAAAAGTTGCTTTCAGGAGAAGCTGTTTGTGCCAGCGGTAAACTTACATGTGGCCTTATGTCACATGTTTCCCTCGTGATAATGGGTATTTGACTTTTAGTTTCACCTCTGACCCGTGCAGCATGTTGGTAGTCTAAAACATGGCTATTCAACTATGTATACATAGGGGTCATATTTCTTGAAATAGGGATCATCACAGACCAGAGGCCCAATTCTCAGCAAAGAAAGATCATTAATACAATACAAATGACAATTATATGAGGGCCACTTGCTAGATCTTAGTGGTACTTTTAAACGGCCATTTGTGGATAATGTAGATGATAATGATGCAGACTTTTTTTGGGCTTCTTCGCGTTCACTTGTGTAAACTCCAGCAAAAAAGTCATTAAGCGAGAGTCATGAAACGCCAGGCGCAGCTGACAGAACCCACCAAAAATACAGACCAAAGACCTGAAATAGACGCTCCAACAACGGAGTCAACTACTGCTAGACAACCGAAAACAAGATGAGCAAGTGGCACAATCCCAACAGTCTTTCTAAGGACTCAGCATCGAGTCACCCCATGCAGAAACTGCCAACCCCAGAACCCCTGGAGCCACCACCCATACCCGACGCAGAGCCGCCCCAGACAAAAACTAACAGCCCTGAGAAGGGCTGTCAACCCACACAGCCATGATGCAGTAAAACCACCCAAACAAGAGAAGCTGTAGCCTCACTGACCGATACCACACCAAAAGGTAAAGTCTGGAGATGTGAACCAGCGTCATTGCACACAGTTAAAAACCATAAGTGCTCTGCAACCAGTACGGACAGCTGATAAAAAACTTGTCCACCTGTGTCACTGTCCGCACGTAACTTCATAGCTACAGCATCATTCCTTAATTTAAACCAGTGTGTCAACTCTGGTACACATTACCTAGAGGCTGGTTGAACCCCGGGAACCACCTGGTTTTGAATACAGCACGTAGACTGCGAGCAGCAGCTGGATTTGAAAGCGAGTCTCCTATCGACTGCGCTAACACGGTCTCCAATACCAAACCATACGAAGCGGAAAAGAGCAGATAACTCAGGCAAAATTGCTTGCTGCAATGAAACCAAACTGGAGCTAAGTCAACCAAGAACAAACTCTACGATATAACACCATCAGGCGGTTGAAAGTGGAGAAAGTTTGAACATTTTTTGTTTCCTATGAATCAAATGAGTCTTTTCATTGTAGTACAGTAGCTCGGTGAAAATTATTTACTGTGGAAAATTGTTTGTATTGTTTGTTTACATTATATTTTGTGTGGGAGGTTAACAACTTATGACAGTTTACAGAAGATCATGAGTGAGACAGCGAGACGATTTGGGAAGAAAAAGTTACATGTTTTGGGAGTTGAACTTGACCTGCTACATGATGATAATGACAAGCCAGCCTAATCAGTAACTACAAGGCAGTTTATCAATAACTGCTAGGCAGCTTAACCAATAACTGCTAGACAGCTTAACCAGTAACTACAAGGCAGCTTAACCAATAACTGCTAGACAGCTTAACCAGTAACTACAAGGCAGCTTAGCCAATAACTGCTAGACAGCTTAACCAGTAACTACAAGGCAGCTTAACCAATAACTGCTAGACACCTTAACCAGTAACTACAAGGCAGCTTAACCAATAACTGCTAGACAGCTTAACCAGTAACTACAAGGCAGCTTAACCAATAACTGCTAGACAGCTTAACCAGTAACTACAAGGCAGCTTAGCCAATAACTGCTAGACACCTTAACCAGTAACTACAAGGCAGCTTAGCCAATAACTGCTAGACACCTTAACCAGTAACTACAAGGCAGCTTAGCCAATAACTGCTAGACACCTTAACCAGTAACTACAAGGCAGCTTAACCAATAACTGCTAGACAGCTTAACCAGTAACTACAAGGCAGCTTAACCAATAACTGCTAGGCAGCTTAACCAATAACTACAAGGCAGCTTAACCAATAACTACAAGGCAGCTTAACCAGTAACTACAAGGCAGCTTAACCAGTAACTACAAGGCAGCTTAACCAATAACTGCTAGACAGCTTAACCAGTAACTACAAGGCAGCTTAACCAATAACTGCTAGACAGCTTAACCAATAACTACAAGGCAGCTTAACCAGTAACTTCAAGATAGCTTAACCAGTAACTACAAGGCAGCTTAACCAGTAACTTCAAGATAGCTTAACCAGTAACTACAAGGCAGCTTAACCAGTAACTTCAAGATAGCTTAACCAGTAACTACAAGGCAGCTCAACCAGTAACTTCAAGATAGCTTAACCAGTAACTACAAGGCAGCTTAACCAATAACTGCTAGACAGCTTAACCAGTAACTACAAGACAGCTTAACCAGTAACTACAAGGCAGCCTAGCCAATAATTGCTAGACAGCTTAACCAGTAACTACAAGGCAGCTTAACCAATAACTGCTAGACAGCTTAACCAGTAACTACAAGACAGCTTAACCAGTAACTACAAGGCAGCTTAACCAATAACTGCTAGACAGCTTAACCAATAACTACAAGGCAGCTTAACCAATAACTGCTAGACAGCTTAACCAGTAACTACAAGGCAGCTTAACCAATAACTGCTAGACAGCTTAACCAGTAACTACAAGACAGCTTAACCAGTAACTACAAGGCAGCCTAGCCAATAATTGCTAGACAGCTTAACCAGTAACTACAAGGCAGCTTAACCAATAACTGCTAGACAGCTTAACCAGTAACTACAAGACAGCTTAACCAGTAACTACAAGGCAGCTTAACCAATAACTGCTAGACACCTTAACCAGTAACTACAAGGCAGCTTAACCAGTAACTACAAGGCAGCTTAACCAGTAACTACAAGGCAGCTTAACCAGTAACTTCAAGATAGCTTAACCAGTAACTACAAGGCAGCTTAACCAGTAACTTCAAGATAGCTTAACCAGTAACTACAAGGCAGCTTAACCAGTAACTTCAAGATAGCTTAACCAGTAACTACAAGGCAGCTTAACCAGTAACTTCAAGATAGCTTAACCAGTAACTACAAGGCAGCTTAACCAGTAACCACACTAAGTAAAATCTTATTTAAAACAAGTTAACATGGAACTTTGCTCTTAACAAGACAACTTAGTAAGTAGCCAAGTCTAAAATAAAAACCACCAGAAAGCAAATTAAATCAATGTCAGACTGTATTACCAAGTCTGTTGCTTCCCAAAGTAGGTATTTACAGTAAAAAATGGTTCTATATTTTTTACGGGTTCTATATTTTTAACGTCCCCCAAACACGAAATTCCCGTGGA